CCAGTGAGCGGGAGCCGGTCTGTATGTGGGATCCGAACCCTCGGACGGGAGCGCCGCCGCGCTTCCCAAGCAGCGCACTATCCAGTGCGCCACCGGGCCGGCCCAATATTTACATTTTTTAATGGACACATTTAAATGGCTATATAAGTACCTACATTACAGTCTTGATTTTGCCTCTTGGACCACAAAGCCTAAAATACTATCTGGCCCTTTTCAGAAAAAAGCTTGCTAATCCTAGTGAAAGCAACAGGCAGCCACTGAGAGCTTCTGAACAGAGGTGTCAGAGAAAAAGTGATGTTTTAGGTAATGTTTTAGAAAGTAATGTTTGCGTGGGAGCAGTGGGCAGGAGAGTAAAGGGAAGAAAATACAAGCATTAAGGTTATAAAATGACGGGGACCTCAATTTGGGTAGTGGCAGTAGAATGGAAAGAAAAGGACAGATTCACAATGTGTCACAAAGCTAGAAGTGGCAATAGCGGAAAACTGTGGTAGGCTAAGTAATGGCGCTCCAAAGACATCCACATCCTAATCCCCTGACTCTGTGAATATGTTACCTTATGTGGCAAAATAGACGGCAGATGTGATTAAATTAAGGATCTTGAGATGGGGAGATTATTCTGGATGATCCAGATGGGGCTAATATGATCATGGGAGTCATAATAAAAGGGAGACAGGAGGGCCAGAGTCCAAGAAGGAGATGTGACAGTGGAAGCAAGAGGTTGGAGTGATGCAAGGAAGAGACCACAAGCCAGGTAATGTGGGTCGATCTAGAAGCTGGAAAAAGCAAAAGAATAGAAGCCTCCAGAAGGGGCACGGCCCTGCCAATACCTTGACTTTAGATTTCTGATCTCCAGAACCATAAGATAATAATTCATGTTGTTTTAAGTCACAAAGTCGGTGGTAATTTGTTCCAGCAGCAATAGGACAGTAATATAGAGACTGATTAAATATGGAAGGGGAGGGGAGAAGGTGGATAAGAACTCAGAGGGGTCCTTTGAGGCAAGCCCAGTGCATCTAGAGCATAAAGTATCACTGATAAAAACAGGAGAGACAGGCAAGGAAGTGAGTTCCAGGAAAGGATGGAGGCAACAAGGATTTTGCTTTTTGATCTGTTGCACTTCAAAGGGGAGAAGAGAGAGAAAAATGCAGAGAACCCAAGGACTTAACCACAATGAAGAATGGGGGAAGCGGGACCACCATGACACCGCCTCCTCCCCAGCCCCTCACAAGAATGCTAAGTTTTCCTAGCTGCTGTCCAGGAGGGTCAGTAAGGAGAGTGGCCATGCAGAGAACGTGGGAAGAGGTTATTCTATGACTCATTTTGTTCATTACTGTAACATCAGCAACGAGTGCAGTCCCTGACACAATTTATACTTGGAAATATTGATTGATTAATTGGCTGGTTAATTGATTGATTGATTTCCCCCAGAGGAAAGTCATCAATGTTCACCCTTATTCATGATATTTCTTCAACCCGTACATACATTTTTAAAACAGCAAATAAAAAGGCCCCTGTGAGGTCATTCCATACCCAAGCAGTTCCCAGATCAGAAAAAGCTCAAAGCTGAACTTGCAAATATTCTCTGAGGTTTACTATTCATAACAGCCAAACACAGAGAGGCCTCAGCCAGCCCCTGAGCTGCATAAACAGCTAAGTTTATCTCCCCTGTCTGGAATCCGGGCTCTGCTTCCTGCAGGTGACCACGGGTGATTACTGGCTCAATGATCTTCTTTTTAAATCACTATTTTTCCTTTTTGGAAAAAAGGCCGTTTTTGCAATGTGTCTTTGGAAGGCAAATGAGGCTACTGGCTAGGAAGAGACAGACTGTGTGACACCTTACCTTTCAGAAACACAGAGACATCTTCAAGTTGAGGCACGTTGTCCTCCCTGTAGCCACAGTATTTAGTCAGCAGAGGGAAGTTTTTCAAATACTCTCGGCAAGCATGAGTGGGATAGAGTTTGGAGAGCTCCCGGAATACAATGCCCCAAGTTTTAGTTTCTTCTTCTGTGTACTCCACCCTGGGAATGGGTTGGCCACTGGGAGGGAGAGAAGAAAAAGAAGTAAATCTAGCTTTGGATCATTGAATTAAGTGTATTCCCACCTTAATTCTTAGCGTAAATCAGATTCTTGTAAAGTGGAATATCAGAGTATCTAAAAGGATCCCAATAAGTATTATTCTTTAAAGTGAATGCTAACCCAATTTTGTGTGTGTGTATTTGGACTTCCATATAAATAATTTTTTAATGAAGTTATATCTTTACATATAGAAATTTGATAAGGCTTTTGTTATTAAATTGAGATCAGTAATAAATAAGAGCTCTGGGTTAGAAGGAACTGGTTTAGGTACAAAACTGCTCTGTGAACCTTTTCTGCAATCACGTGACAACAGTAGTAAATGAATGTTGTCTCTTGAAAATAAAATTGCCTTGTGGGCTCTCTTTGTCTCTTGCCCAGACTCACCCCAATCTGCAGTCATAATTTTAAGATTATTGTTCAATGCCCAAAACGTCTGGGAAATACTAAAAGACTATGCTGAATTTAAAAGTGAGAGTCTCACAAAGCACAAAATAAGGAGCATTTATTGCAGGTTTTGCTGAAAGGTACACACATTAATCCCTCTCAGTTTAGGACAGGGGTAGCAAACTTCTTCTATAAAGGGCCAGAAAGTAAATATTTTAGGCTTGCCAGTCATACTTTCTACATTGCAACTGTTAGGTTCTGCCACTGTATCTCAAAAGCATCCATAGACAACATTTAAACAAATGGATGTAGCTATGTTCTATTACAATTTTCTTTATTTGGCCCACAAGCAGTAGTGGGCTAATGACTGGTTTAAAATATTGAGAGGTCATCCTGGACTGAGTGGTCAGGGAGAGCTTCCTGGAGGAGGCACAACTTTAGCACTGACTCGTTGGCAAGGTAGGGTCTGCAGGTTCCCTGACAAAAAGAAAGGTGAGGAGGAAATGCTGTTTACAACAGCCAGCAGCCGTGAGCATGTAACATGACTCCATCTGATGCAACCTGGAACCAAGAGAAGGAGGGGAATATAAACAAATGCCTTTGCAAACTAGTGCTTGAGGGCCCAGAATTGGAATTTAGCTGCTGATTAAGATACCTACTCTGAAAGAGAATTAGGGTTTAAGAAATTCTCCCAAACATCCACCTGCACCTGCCCCTATTGCCCACCCAGGCCACATGTCAGAAATTCTGCCTGGCAGTCAGCAAATACACGCGCACAACCTCTGGAAGTCCAAATATATACATGTAAAACTAGGAATTCTGCCCTTGCAATCTACTAATCCAGCATATGGCAGGCAGTCACCGCAGGAGCTCACACGCAGACAGCAAATGCCACTGGGGCTTGCTACAGCTTCAGGGTGCCTTCAACGACCTGGGATCGCTTCAGGAACACCCCTCGAGGTAGTAAAAAAGAGAAAGAGGAAAATAACTAGGCTATCAGACTGATCCTCTAGCTGCCCTCCTACATATTTCAGTGTTCTTGCCAAAATACTTTCTGTTTAAAGTTCAGGTTCAAATGTGTTTCTTACTGCCCCAAATTGTTTTTATTTAAAAAAAAAAAAAAAGGACTGCCGTACATGAGCGATGAGGGAATAACACATACAGAAGAAAGAACCAGAAATTAACATTTGCTTTCTCTAACTACCACAACTAGGGTTTACGCAAACCAAATTAGAACAAGATTAGCCTTGTTTAAATTTGTCTGTTGACAACAAATAAAAAATTACAACCTAACAAATATTTGCTAGGAAGATCAAGACTTCTAAGATCTAGCATCAGTGATAAATTTAGAATGAAGGCTTGAAATGGAAAGATAAAAATAGAAATGATGTAAGGAAATAAATATATAAATAAGTCTGCCTCTGGTTCCAGAAAATTCAACTAAATCAATTTGAGTCAAGTAAGCCAATAAAGCTAATAAGAGTTGTGCACGACTGGAAAGTAGGAAGGCGATGAGGCTGAAACAATAAATGAAATATTGAGAAGCCATTTGAAAAAAATCGTTAGGTCAAACTTTTCCCTTCAATATCAATCTGCAAACATGCAGCGTTTCAAAGGGGAGCCGAATATACAAGATGCAGAAAGAGAACACATGTGAATTAGGATAGGAAGAAAGAGTTATACAGGTCTGTCACTTAATCATGAATTTCCAGCATCACAATCTTGGGAATATGGATGGTTGCATGTATGTTCATCTGTTTCTGCTTGTGTGCCCTGCCTGGGTAAGTAACTAGCCTGCTCTTTGAGTTAGTGACTGGTGCAAAGTACTGCTTCTACGCTGAATCCAAAAAAGTCTGCAACTGATCAGATCCAGAGATTTCTCACACCACTCTAACCCACCACCCAGCTAACTCTTCAGGGTAAATATTTAAGAATCAGCTTCGTCATAAAGTACAGGCTGGTTTTGTCCATTTCATTTTTATTGAAAATATCCAAAATACAGAAAAAATAAGAAACTTCCCATTTTTTTATGTAGTTAATACTGGTATATAGTAATTGCTAATATTTGGGAACTTATTATGTGCCAGACATTTTTTGAAGGCTAAGTGTTTTTATACGAATTAATCCATTTTGTTCTCACAACAACTCTGTGCGGTAGATACTATTATTATCCTCTATCACAGGTGAAAAAATCGAGGCTCAGAGAGATGAAACAACTTGTCTAAAATCACGGAACCAGGCTTAAAACCTAATCAGTCTGGCTCAAGACTGGCTATAGTCTTAACTGATAAGTATATACAAATGAAATTAAAAATTTATTTTAGACACCAACTTATTTTCATGTACCAAATTAAAATAAGGTTTGTAGATGTGTGTACTCACATATAGAAAGTCTCATATGCAATCATATGTCATCATACTAGCATGTATTTGTCAATCACAAAGAGTACTTTTATATTTCTCCACTAATTCGACCTTCTCAGTGAGACTTTGAGGTACTGTGGGTTTCCCAACAGCATAAACAAGCATTGGGTTATGAGAAATGCAAAGGCACCCACGTATTTTTTTAAGACTTTGAAATTTGACATTTGGAAAAATAAAAATCGTAATCATAAGAAAATCAAAATGCATTTCACCTCAACTTTTTTTTTTTTTTTTTTTTTTTTTGAAGCTTTTACAACGGGAAAATGGGGGGGCCCCATCTGGGGGGGGGGGGGGGGGGG